CCGGAGCGTCTGCCGCCCGCCGTCCTCGTGGAGTCCCGGCCGGGCCAGGGGTCCGGAGGCTCGGCGTGTCTCCGGCCGGGAAGAGGCCACGCCGGGCCTCAGTGTCCAGCCTTCTCGACACGGCCTTCCAGGAGGAGTGGAGGCCGCGGAGGCCGCGGGTCGGGAGGCCGCCAGCGTCCGAGGGAAGCGCAGCTCGGGTCGGCTTAGCGTTTACGTTTTGCGAGTTTGTTCCGCGCCCGCGCCTGTCCCCAGTGTGCGCGTCGCGTTCTGTGTACCGGGCGCCGCCTGCCGAGGCCGCCTGCGCGCGGGAGCGCCCTGCCCTCCGCCGCACGCAGGAATTGCGCCTGAGGTCCTGGGCCGCGCGTCCCTGCCGAAGCCCTCCACGTGGACCCGCAGCCGCGCTCTTGAGAAAGCCTCCTCTCCAGGCTATGCAAGGCTGCCCAGGTGCCCGCTGACCTCTCTGACCACATCCCAGGCCAGTCCCCTTGCCTCCCCATCTCCACTTGTCTGTTCGCTCCTCCCAGGAGTTCTTTCTTGACTTCTCTAGAAGATGCCAAGCAATCTCTATTTACCGTGCACCGCTCCATTCCTCTTCTCGGTTTCCACCTTGTCACTCCCCACACCTTACATGTTTCCCCCCCATCCAAGCACCAAACAGACTTGACCCTACTTAGCTTCCAAGACCAGGTGTGTTCAGGTCAGAATGGGCCTTAGACAGATTCTATGTCCCTGACCACGAAAGTCCAAAATAGCGTCCACCTGGCTGACAGTTTTATTTCCATTGCACCCGTCTCGTTTTAAAACTTGCGCTGATAAGTTGTTTTTCCATTAGTGTAAGTTCTTGAGACAGGCTCTTGTGTGACAGGTGAGACTATCCCCAAAATGCAAGAGAATAATAAAAGCAGCTCATAATTTTGAGTGTGGTGGCAGCTGTGCGTTGCCCTTTACAGACAGTATTTCATTTAATTTTCTACAGACCTCTGAGAGAACTATTCTACCATCTCATTTCTTGAGTAAGGAGATCTGAGGTACTGAGCCAGAAGTCACATCCGAGATCACATAGGTGACAAGTGGGGAGAACCAGGATTGAAGAAGTCACATCTGAGATCACATAGGTGACCACTGGGGAGAACCAGGATTGAAGTAGGTCTTTCCAGACCTTGCTGTTGAACTCCCAACAGTTTATAGTTCCTCCTACACTGCGTGTGGAACGCTGTGAGTGCTGTGTCAATAGTTGTTGAATGATTAAATGCATATACCCAGTAAACAGACCAATTTAAAAGAAATGCCCAGTGGATTGTAGAATTAAGTAGGGAAGTAGTTCAGGAAAAAGCTCAGTTAGGGGCTGGGAAGGTGGCTCAGTGGTAGAGCACTTGCCTTGTATGCATGGACCCTGGGTTTGATTCCTCAGCACCATGTAAGCAAAAAGAAAAAAGCCAGAAGTGGCGCTGTGGCACAAGTGGTAGAGTGCTAGCCTTGAGCTGAAGAGCTGAGGGACAGTGCCCAGGCCCAGAGTTCAGGCCCCACGATTGGACCCCCCCCCAAAAAAAAAACGAAAGAAAGAAAAGGCTTAGTTAATGTGGACTTGGGTAAACAGCTTTTTTTTTTTTTGGTCTTAGTTGCCACCTTAAAAAATTAGTTAATGTGGGGACTGGTGGCTCACATATATAATCCTGGCTACTCAGGAAGTTGAGATCTTGATTAAAAGCTAGCCCAGGCAGAAAAGTCTGTGAAATTCTTATCACGCTACCCACCAAAAAGCCAGAAGTGGAAGTGTGGCTCTTACTAGGTTCTTACTTCGTTCTTACTAGGTGGTCTAGAGTCCTGTTAACTTAGCTGTGACAAGTAAATGGGAAGGAAAGAAGGAACCTCAGTGATTGTGTCCTCTTCTAGTTGGGCAGGCTGATCAGAGAGAATAAGTGTCCTGTCCAGGGCACGTGGGGAGAGGTGCTTAGTTTCATTTGAAAGAGAAAGATAGAAGAAAGGATGGGATAGTAATGAGTGCTTTTTGTTACTCCGTGTTCACTTTATCTTTAGGCAAGTGAGTAAAGATCAGGAAAAAAAAGATCGATCAACAAAGCAGTTATGGAAGAGAACAGATGAGAAGTTAATACATTAACCTAGTAAGAGATTCTTAAAGAATATCTGCCCTGGCTCCTTCAGAGAAAATAAAGTATTCCTAGAGACCACTTGTATTTATTCCCCAGGTCTTAGAAAGTGCTCTGGTTCCTTTAAAATGAAAGGTTAGGGAGGGCCTTGCTCATGTGCATGCTTATTTGCATATATTTACATATAAAGTCTTAAGCCCTAATTTTTTGGAAGGAAAAAGAAATTTAATGCAAAGTGCTACTTTTTAGAACAAGCATGCGTGAAATACATAAAGATAATTTTAACCAGTTCATTTACCCTCATCCTCGAATAAGAATAGACAAACTTGGGGCTGGGAAGGTGGCTCAGTGGTAGGGTGCTTGCCTTGCATGCATGAGGCCCTGGGTTCGATTCCTCAGTACCACATAAGCAAAAAGAAGCTGGAAAGTGGTGCTGTGGCTCAAGTGGTAGAGCGCTAGCCTTGAGCTGAAGAGCTGAGGGACAGCGCCCAGGCCCAGAGTTCAGGCCCCACGACCGGACCCCCAAAAAAAACAAACCAAGAATAGACAAACTTATGGCAATAGTATCTTCTGTATGTCTATTTTTTTTCTCCATCCCATGTAAAAAAGTCATCTAATAATTCAACCAAAGTTGGTTGCTTGTTGACATCCAGACTTCTCACAGTTCTCCAACTTCTTCCCTATGCTAGTTACTCAGCTTCCTATTCCACTGCCTTGGTAAACCTATTTCCTTATCCTTGTCCCCAAGCTCATTATCTAGACTAGATAAGCCTTACTATTATTTAGTGCTCCTTTGAGAATAGCTCTGGGCCACTGGGGAGTGGAAAGTCCAGAGGATATAGTTAGATACGCAAGAGAATCCCACAACATCGCACAACCAGAGAGAGGCTACAATCTCAGGAAATATTTGCTGCCAGTATATTACTTACCAGACATGCCTTGCCTTACAGAGACGAAGAACAAAGGCCAACTGTCTGCCATCTGGAGGATTCAGGTGTGTAGAGGAAAAGATAGAAAGGAAAGACAAAGAGACAGCAGAGTGAAAGCTGCAAGTTCCGAGAAAATAGCACAAAGGCAAATGCCTGTTTGGGGAGATGACTCTGGTGGTATGATCTGAACCAGTCTTGTGGATGGTGCATAGTGACTTGGCTGGGCACTGTGCCTGGTGCATTATTTCAGATATTGCACATGCTAACCTTGAGAGACACCAGAATCCCCCTCTTAGAGGTAAAATGTCATCCCCATCTCATAAGTGAGGAGGTAGGTTCAGTGAGCTGAGTGTGTTAGTAAAAGATCTGGAAAGCCAGGTTCAAAGTTAGATGCTTGACAGGCATAGGGATGAGGATGTTTGAGAAGGTTGTGGGCCACCGGGAGCTGGGCCCCGGATGCCAGGAAACGCTGTGAATATGTTTTCCTGGAGGCCACATTGAAGTTCTCATATCAGGAGAAGAGTATTTAAAGATATAAAAAACAAAAAAAATACTATTAATACGATTTTTAGTATTCTTTGACATGGAAACACAGTCTCAATTTCTTGTCCATCCAAAGACATTTCATAATTGTGCATAATGCAGTCCCTTTTTATTTAGAACAAATTCAAAGGCCATGTATAGAAAGTTTTCATTATTTCTTTCATTACTTCTTTCCATTGGCTTTTGCCACCAATACAATGGGATGGAACAGATTGGATCCCTCTTCTGAAAGGCCACCCTGGCCTCCTCCCTAGTCAAGTTTTCTCTTTTATTGATCCTGCCTCGATATATTTTAATTTTCTCTAGCCTCTAGATGTTAAATCTTTGTTTTTTTGTTTTTGTTGGTCATGAGGCTTGAACTCTGGGCCTGGGCGCCTGCTCTGAGCTCTTCAACTTAAGGCTAGCTTGTGCTACCACTTGAGTCACAGTCTTCACTTCTAGTTTCTGGTGGTTTATTGGAGATAAGAGTCTCACTGTCTTGCCTGCCCAGGCTGGCTTTGAACCATGATCCTCAGATCTCAGCCTCCTGAGTAGCTAGGATTATAGCCATTGGCACCTGGATGGATGTTAAATCTTTTACTGATGCCTGCCTCTCTCTCTTTCTTTCTCTCTTTCTCTTCTTTCGTTGGTCATTGGGCTTGAACTTTGGGCTTGGGCACAGCTTTTCAGCTCAAGGCGAGCACTCTACCGCTTGAGCCACAGCACCACTTCTGGTTTTCTAGTGGTTTATTGGAGATAAGAGTCTCATGGACTTTCCTGCCCAGGCTGACTTTGAACTGTGATCCTCGGATCTCAGCCTCCTGAGTAGCTAGGATCACAGACGTGAGCCACCGGTGCCTGGCTGATGCCTTTTTCTGACTTGCTAACTTGCCTGCTTTTGCTTATAGTCATGTGCCTGGGGTTTTATTTCTGGTTTGTGGAGATACAGAAATGTGTTTATAGGGGCTGGGAAGGTGGATCAGTGGTAGAGCACTTGCCTTGCATGCCTAAGGCCCTGGGTTCGATTCCTCAGCACCACATAAGCAAAAAGAAAAAAGCCGGAAGTGGCGCTGAGGCTCAAGTGGTAGAGCGCTAGCCTTGAGCTGAAGAGCTGAGGGACAGCGCCCAGGCCCAGAGTTCAGGTCCCACGACTGGACCCCCCCA